GAAAGTTTTTTTTCTTTTCGTTGTTACCTTTCGCAATAACATTTTGCTGTAAAAAAAATGCTCAAGTCCGAGCAGGCACAATGACGTTGAAATAACGTTGAAAAAACGTCGCAAACCTACTATACGCCACGTTGAAACAACGTTGAAATTTGGTAGAATTGGAAACAAAATCCGACGTTGAAAACTACGACGTTGAAACAACGTCGATGATTACGTTGTTTCAACGTTGTTCTAACGTCTTATCGACTACATATCAACCATATTTCAACTTTGAATAGATGATATGTTCGGTTCATACGTAGTCGATAAGACGTTAGAACAACGTTAAAACAACGTAAATTCAACGTTGATTTTTGTTTTTTATTTTGGTTAAATCCAATTAACTAAAAAATTACCTAAACTTTAATTGCAATAAAATAACACAATAAAAAGGCAATAATTTGTGCAAAGAATATTGTATTTCAAGTAAATTAATCAGATACAACTAAATTGCTTCAAGGGACCCTATACACAATGCAAATAGAGTAAAATATTAAAAAAAAAGTTTTATTTAACAATAACCCCAGAACAATTAGGAAAAAATGTTATACATCTAGTGAACCGCCTTTTACGTGCCGACCACCACCATTCAATCTGTCGAGTGCATATTTTAATAAAGTCATTATTCCTTTTCTTATTTCGGCAACTGTAGTAGTTGCTTTAATTGACATGACGCTCTCTATAAAAAAAGGTATTGTCTGAGTAAAAAATTAAAACACTCTACAAAAATAATACACAACAAAAATTGTTAATCTAAAAAAGATTTTTTATTTTTGAAAACAAGTTCAAAAGACAAGCTCGGAAAACATCTACTTTTTGTTGTTTCACAAAAGTAGTGAATATCATTTTATATTTTTGCTGAAATTTTTAAAGAGTATCCAAATACTACGATTATAAAACACTTTTGAAACAAAGAATTTTATAATAACTATAAGTTTATTGTAATAAAAATTTTTTGAAAATTTCGAAAAATTTTCAAATTCTCTAAAAAAATTTTATCTTGTTATTTATTGTTACTAAGTATATTGCCGTAGCAAACTTTGTTTGAGGGGTGCATAATTTGCACCCCCAACTTAAAAGGTTAAGGTACATTTTTCAATGTATATTAAATTTGCCTGTAAGTTACTGAAAACTGTAAAATTGTATATAAAATGACCTGATTGAATATTTACAGTATTTTACAATTTTTTTTTTGATTTAAAGACGTCGATGATTACAAAAAGTAAAAAAAATGTTTTTGCAAAATTTGAATTATTTAAATATATAGCAATAAAAATAAGGAACTAATGATTTCTAGGTCATAAATTCTACTGCTATGTTTAAATAAGTGCTATTAAGACTTAAGTCTCACTTAGAATAACCTTGCTAGGGCACTTTTGACTTTATAAATCAATAAATTATGAAAATCAGAAAATAATGCTATAGTTTATAACGGTTTAAATGTATTGTTCAATCAATATTACCAACTGGACGATTTGAGTGTTTAAAAGTATCATACTAAGCAAATTATTTTATTGATGTTTTAGTGAACATTTAGATCAAATGTGTTTTCTAATTTTTAGATAAATTATTATAATCTGACACAGCTAGTGCACGGCTAACGCAAACATTTTCGGGGCTGGGTTTAAAAATTTTGCGGGGCCTAAGATTCTAATCTTAAATTTTATGACGAAGAATTATATTTTTAAGAATAACAAAAATACTGTTACATATTACGTATAAATTTCTTGTAATGTGTTTATTAAATAGTAATACAAGACAATACAATAATACTACATATTATGCTTTTTTCCATGCAAAATCTTTATTAACGTCAACAAAATCAATTTTGCACATGCAATTTTTCTTGGCTTATTGATGATCGCAGATAATTTTTTATTAAATTCAACCTCGAGAAACTATGTTCTGCTGAAGCCTCGGTTACTGGGGTTGTTAACATAATTTGTAATCAATTAATAAACTTGCTTTTAAAAGATTGTTCTTTACAATCCGTCGCATTTAATGCCGAACAACTGGTTTGTGTTATTGAACGGAACATTTTGATTTCTTCATAAATTTCAGCTCTGTCGATACTTCCCTCTAAATTTAATTACAGCATTTTAATAAATATTCATCTTCTAAATTATTAATTTCATTCATGTATAAAAAAACAAAAAGATTTTTACAATTTTCGTTTAGCTCAAATCTGCTTTTAAAAGATACTCAGGCTGTATCTATTATTTGCAAAAAATAATTTATACGGAAGTATTCTTTATTGTTGATTTTTTCAACACATTTTCAAAACTAAATGATACACAAGTTTGTTGTAACTTTTGTAAATCAAATATTTCTTTGCAGTATAATTGTTTTAAAGAGTTTAAACTTAAAAAAAAAATTCAAAATGACTTTAGACCGGCAAATTTTAAAAAGTAACTTTTTTTTAGGAAATATGTGAAACATTTGTTGGATCTAATATTCCACTCCATAAATTAAATCATCCCTAAATTTTTTTACAAAAATATTGCCCCCATGATATACCCAACGAATCTACTATTAGAAGGAAGTATATTCTCAGGTAAAATGAAAAGATTCTGGAAATTTGAGCCGGTGGAATTGGAGCTTGCAAGTGAACCATTATGATTAAAGAAATGTATTGCAAATGAGTGCCTTTTAATGGGATACTTTACGCAAACCGCGGGGCTTGGTTTTGGGAATGCGCTAAACCCGCCTTCCGCCGGCCTTGAGTGCATTTATAACATGTATCTTTTATTAAAATGTTTTATATACAATCTTTATACATAAAAATCTTCCTAACTTTTTTAAAATTTTATATGCAATGTTTAGACGTAAAAAAACTTTTGTTTCTTTAAAACACATTATAAAAAAAAATACACAATAAAATTTGTTAATCTAAAAAAGATTTTATTCTTTGTATTTTGTAAATATGTTACATCGTATTTAAAAGAAGTTTAGGCTAGAAAAATGTCATACACAAGCTCAAAAGATAAGCTAACTTGGAAAAGATCTACTCTTCATTGCTCCACAAAAGTAATTTACGTAAAAATAACATATAACAGGCTATGTGAATAAAAAAAAAACGACTGCTTTTACTAAGTGTTTTTGGAGTAAATGCTCAGCTTTACATGAATAAAAATTTGAGCAAAATTGTTTTAAATTATATTAACCTAAAGCTGAGCAATTACACCAAAAACGCTGAGTAAGTGCAATTGCTTTTTTTAATTCACCCGGCCTAATAGCTTGAGCGTTTTATTGCTTTATTAAAAGAATGCGCTATTCTCAGACTGATAAAAATTCTTTATATATATATATATTTTTTTTTATAAATATATACGCTCAGATTGACAGATTGAAAAAAAAAATTGAAAATGTTTTGTATTAAGGGTCAGATTTAAATCGTCACAAAACGGAACCATTGATACTGAAATGCATGTAATAGAAAAACAAACCATTTTGTAAATCTCTTATAAGCTCAACGTATGCAGAAAAGATGCATACTTTTTTTTGCTCTGAACGTAAGTATTTTAACGAATCGTTAAAATACTTACGTTCCTACCGTTAACCGTTAAAATACTTACGTTCCTACCGTTAACCTAAAAATATTGAAGTAAATAAGGAATAAGTATAGAAATGATCGGTGTGGAATAAATATGAACAAAAATGACTGTTTAGTGAAGATTCTTATTTTACGGGTCCGGCCAGCTTGGAGATATATATAAGGAAAAGTTAAAGAAAAGATCGTTGTGGACTTTGTGACTTACTATGACCCGCATTTTACGGGTACGGTCAGCTATTTTTTTTTTATTTTAAATATAGAAACAATATTGAATTTTCTAAAGAACCCTGAAAACTTCAGAAAGCTGGTATAAACTGATAATGACGAAGAGCATAATTAAAATATCAACCTTTTAATTCATCCTCAAATAGGTAGAACAATTGCCTAAAAGAAAAATATTCTATTATGGCATCTAATTAAGAAACGTTGTTTAACAAAAAAGTGAAATCATGTAAATATAGAAGCTTTCACTTTTGTATTTTGATACCAGTTAGATCAATATTTGTTTAACCTGAAAAAGACGTTGGACCTCGTTGAAACGCTTAATTGGAAAACGAATTGTTTATCGTCGTTTTAAAAAAGAATTTATTTGTATACCAAAATCAAATGTGCTTTCTGCTACTAGATTTTTTTGGTTAAGATTCTACTATTTCAGAATTAAAAAAGCAGTTTTTGTAAGATTTTTAATAAAACTTCTTAACTTAAATCAAAGTATTACTTTACATTAACTTATTACAAAGTCTTACAGAAAAAGTTTGATTCGATATTTATCTAAAATAAGTGTATCAAATTTTCTCATAAATTTAGGTTTTTCATATAAAGGTTTATTTATTTATTTAATTTTTTTAAATTTTTAGGATCTTAAAATATAACATTTTTATCTTAGGTTATTGTATAGTATCGCAGAATCCTTATCTTAAAATAAATCATTTTTTTATTAGTATAACTCTGCTTTAGAAATCAAATATGCTTCTCATTGTTAATTGCTTTTTATTAAAATCAATTTTCTATTGTATTAAAGTAGTAAGCTAAAAATATAATTTTTTATTTATTGAAAACCTTGATTAAGTTATGCTTTCAGACCACGTCTTGAGTAAAATACTTCCAACTTCTGGTTTATCTGAATTATTTAGGATTATAGATAATATAATCATCTGAAGTTGTCGCTTACTCCAAAAATATTTTATTAAATTTAATCATTATCATACTCAAATAATAACAAATTTAAAACAACAAATTTCAAGTAACTAACGTTGTGTTTCTGTACAGTACCGTAGTAAGAAACGTTAAGTTTCTGTACAATAAAAACTATTTATTAAAACAAACTATATCAAAACTTTAGTCTCTAATTTAAATATAATAAAAATTATATATTTAAATAAGAAATTCTTTGTAAACATTCAAAGTCTAAGATTTAAAAACTCTAATAACCTGACAACTTACAAAATAAATACAATTAAAAGTTAAGGTAGTAGTTGATAGTCATTTTTCAATATCAAATATAAAATACCGATTTCATGAGATGATTTAATCTATTATCGCTCTTGTTTTACCAAAGTTCTGTCCAGCTTGTGAGGCTCCTTTATTTGAGCCTGCTTGGAGACCAATAACTCCTTCACCTGCTCTAAGTTGTTCTTCCGTAAATTCCCGTTTATTCTCAGTTGCTTCTTCGGGTCCTAGTGCAGGTCCATCATAAAGTCTATGAGCTTTTCGACCAATTGCAAAAATTCCATTTATTACTTGATTAATATTTGTTCCTTCGTAGACATCTACAGTCTGAAAAAGATCTAAAGGTTTTATACCAACTTTTTCACATGCAGTTAAAAAGTTGCTAATATTTTCCATTTGCTTAAATGCCATTTTAGAGTCGTTGATTTTTTTAACACTTCCAGGTTTTATTGCGTTTATAAGATGACACAGTATAACACCATCTTTTAGATACGTTTGTACATCCTTATCTTTTTCGATTGGTTCTATGGTGTCAGCTAAAGCAGCTCCTTCTCCTCCAGCAAAACGTAAAACCTCTTTAATCCAGTCGAATGCTTCATTAGCGAGATGAAGATCAAACTTGGCCGCTTTTTTTGCTGCTAGCTCGGCAGTCATTCCAAATCCTTTAGGACGAGTCGCCATTCTTGTTTTACTGTATTGAAGTACTGACTACGTGATTGAATGCTGTCGAAATAATATTTTATTTTTACATATCCGGATAAACTTACAGAACAACGCCTTTACACTATGCTTCAATGAACAAATTTAACAGAAGAACTCCGCCAATAATAAAATTAATATAGTTGATTATTTATTATTTAAACAACTAATATCTGCGGTGGTGCACTTTTAATTAAACAGTAATTAAAGTCTTTCTCAATCTTTTATGTTTTATGCCTTTTTATGGCATTGAAAAAAATCTAATTAATGACGTTGAGATCAAGTAGTCTTAATAATATTGTTTATATTCTCTTTTACCAAAAAAAAATTATTGCTGATTTTTGACCGTGTTTATTTTATAAAGACTAACGTAGTAGTAATTAATACGACAAATGTTTATTTTTTATTGTTTTAATATCTTAAATCATTTTTAAAGTAAATGAGTTTTCAATAGATAGCAAAATATAAAAAAGCTTTAGAAGCGAAATTATATAACTAGCGATGCACTACGGGATATGAAAGTTATAGACTAATTAGATTAAATAAGACTTTTGAAAAAAACCTAAAAATAATTTGAACACCATTAGCGAAATTCTATAAGCAGCGTTAGATCAAAGTATTGTTTATTTCACTTATTAGAGTGCATTATTTATACTTTATAAAATATTTTTAAGATAAATTAATTTAACGATTTCAATAGAATAAAAATAAGTCATACAGCCAAAGTAAATTATATTTTTTGAAATCAGTTTTTAAATAAAGTTATACAGGTATTATAGATATTTAGGGCCTATTAAGGCGGGGGCGGATGGGACTGCAGCCGCAGGCCCTTACAAAAAAAATAGGCCCTAGGGCCCGTGACTTTTTTTTTTTTTTAGGGAACCAGATAACTCTTCCTATGTTTCTCAGTTTTTTTAAATCAATTTATTGGGAGCTTTGGAGGCGTTCGGAGGCGTTGTGAATAAATAAATGAATAGAGATATAGTATTCTATTTAAGGTGGTCCAATAATGGAAAAAATCGAAAAAATTATTTTTTCAAAAATTACAAATTATGAAATTTCAAACATTCTACATTCTGAATATATATAAGTCATTATAATAAACTATATTAAAAATACTCTAAAATTGTAAGTTTTGTCACGAAGTTATAATTTTTCCTAAGCATTGGATTTTTTATATTAAAAAATAGCTATTTTAGAGTTTTTCGCCATTATACACTAGATTTATGACACTATTAGAAACATATAAGCCAGTAACTGTTTCCTGTTTGTTTAACAGAATAAGTAATGACTTGCAAGAACAATTTGCATGTTTACAATTATTACTTATAGAAAAGCCTCGTGTTGATATAAATTCATATTATTTGTTATGGGAAAAAAAGATTTAAGAAGAAAGTTAGATGTTGCAGGATATTTAAAAATATGTGTTTGAGAGATCAAACACATATTTTTAAATATCCTGCAACATTGCAAAATCAGTTTTCTACTTCATCAACAGTCTGCGATACAAATGATTTAACTTCTCACTCGAAAATTTTGTCTAACAGACAAATCTAAAACTAATCTAAAAATCTTGACACCAACATCTTAAAAAAGTTATCATTTTGCAGTTATCATAGTAGTACAAGTTAATAATTTGAATCAATTGGTTTTATGTACTATATTAATTGAACCAGACATTCAAAATCAATAAATTTTGAACATATTAAAAATAAATATTGTCCACAATGCCATTAATATCTAGACTGGTTTATCAAAAAAGAAAAGATTTGCTGTTTTTTTAAACAGCGTATGTACATCTTTTGACACTGTTTAAATTGCCTACCCCTATCATTTTATGATTGATTTCGATAGAGAATTTTATGCTGATTAATAATCGTATGAAAACATTGACCTGAAAAATTAAGGAAAGCACTCTAATTTGATGTTGAAGTTTAAAAAATTACATTAAAAACGCTAACACATGCCATTTTTTATCAAACGCGAATGTGATTAGATTCTTTTTCTTAGTTAACTTAAAATCAACCCGGTTTTTATTAAGACTTCAAAGAAAAACTATTTAAAGCAAAAACTATTAGTTTCTAATTGATCTGACCCAAACCCTAAACCTGACCCCAACCATGTACATTTAATTACGCCAATCCCTATTTGTCAGTCGATGTATGTACATTTAAATACGTCAATTCCTATTTGTCACTGGGGCAAGGATTAGCATGAAAGTGATTTTATGGAAACGTGATTTTATGGAAAATACTGGCATTTCAATTAAAGACTGCCGAGGTTAATCCTAAGATAATGCTGCCAACATGAGTGGTCGTTTCAATGGCATGCAAGCAAAAATAAAAGTACATTTTTTATTTTTTTTAAGTTAATTAAGGTGCCCCAAGAAGTCCTTACGGTCTTATCACAAAACACCGCGGAAGAGCATTTAATAGGAAGTTCACGCCTCCTTCCCAACCGATGTCGCAAAACTTGCCCAGAGGTAGGGTTTGAACCACGGATCTTACGCTTCTGAGGCAATAACATATTAACATAATAACGTCAATTCCTATTTTACATCTAAAAAGCTGTCTCAAAGACTTTTCATTAAAAAAACATATATATGTATATATATATATATATATATATATATATATATATATATATATATATATATATATATATATATATATATATATATATATTTATACTCTTTATAATATTTAACTAAATTTCAATAATAACGACAATAAAAACCGGGTAGCGTAATTATAAAAAAAATTTATAAACGATTAAGTGCTAAATAAAAATTCATTAAAAGACGTTTTTAAAAAGATGGCGATATTAGCGTTTTTAGTGTAATTTTTTAAACTTCAACATCAAATTAGAGTACTTTCCTCAAATTTTCAGGTCAATGTTTTTATACGAATCTTAATTAGCATGAAGTTCTCTATCGAAATCAATCATAAAATGATAGGGGTAAGAAACTGAAACAGCCCCAATCTTTTTGCAATTAGAAACAATATCTTTATTCCAGCATGAAATTAAAAAGCAAAGTCATTTAATATTAATAATTCATACAATTTTAGAGCAGTAATGGCTATGTGACAGAATATGTCACATCCATGTCCACCATCTGTTCTGTCACACTTGGTAAAGGTTATTTGGTTTAGAAAACTCTGTTGTTTAATAAACATATATAGTCCAATGAACGTAATAAGGTTAAATAGTAGTCATGATGTTCGATTTAACAAAGATAGCGTATAACATAGTTTATGCATATTCTCTAGTACTGAGACAGACAATGAACAACTAACAAAGATGCATAAAAGCCGCTTTACTCTGCTAAATCAAAGAAAAAAGCAACTACATGCGCACTGAAAAGGTTTTAATGACATACTAAATAAAAACTAAAGTGTATCTTTTGAATCAGAAGTGTTTTAGACTTTATTTATTATATACCAGTTATATTATATATATTTGATACTGGTTGATTTTTTGGGTTAAATATTTCTCATAGCAATTAAAGCTTTAGCATTATTTTAACATTAATTTTTCCCAGGATCTTAAATTTCATTTTTTATTTCATTTTTAGTCCTTTTTTTTCGGGAATAAGTGATAAGTGGAATAATTAAGAGAGATTTTGCTAATCCCCATCAACTTGTAAGGTTTTCTAAGCCCATTGTAAATTATTTAATTTAAAATGTGGAATTTGAGCATCTGCTTTAAATCTACTTTAAATGTGATCACGATATGATAATTGGAAACATGCTGCAAGAGACTTAGCTCGCCATGAAACAAGTAAACCCACATTCAATCAATTGAAACCCTTTTAACAAGTAGGAAAGCTGGAGAGCACATTAGTTAGAGGCTCACAGAGCAATTTGAATTAGAGAAAAAGTACTGGAATGACATACTGTTGCGTATTCTTACTGTAATCAAAGTGTTAGAATTGCGTGGGTTGTCATTCCGTGGCAGTAACGAAATTGTGGGTTTTATCCAGAATGGCAATTATTTAGGCTGCTTAGAGCTACTGACTGAGTTTGACCCAATGCTTGCAGAACATATTCAGAAAAGAAAGAACAAAGGCCGAGGTCATTTGTCATATTGGTCATCAACTATATGTGTTGCGCTAATCAAGTTATCGTAAACGTAAATTATTTGGATTGGCTGATTATACTAAACAATTAATGTCCCCCTTGGGATTATGTATAAATAGCGTGCTTATCGAAGTCTCGCTCTCTTGGAGTAACCTATTAAACATCAACGGACTCGAGCAACTGTTCTACTACTAGCTGTGATCTACAATATCTTTCTTGTGTTTATTACATATTTGTATATAATATATTAATTATAATAAATTGAACTCGTTTTACAATACGACTCTTACGTAAAACAACAATATGTGATGAATTTATTTATGTGTTAAGTCGTGACGTTTTGGACCACATTTTAACTGAGATTAAAGAAGAAAAATACTTTGCAGTTAGTGTTGACTCAACACCAGATATTTCACATGTAGATCAGCTTACCATTATATTCCGTTACATGACTTCTAAAGGACCAGTTGAACGTTTTGTGACATTTATCCCTATAGAAAAGCACACTGGGGGAAGGATTAGCAATAAAGTTACCTGATTTTATGGAAAATACTGGCATTTCAATTAAAGACTTCCGAGGTCAATCCTACAATAATGCTGCCAACATGAGTAGCCGTTTCAATGGCATGCAAGCACAAATAAAAGAACATAATAACTTAGCTGAATACATACCATATTGTGCTCATTCGCTTAACTTTGCTGGTCAAAGTGCTGTAGGATGTTGTTCTAAGGCTGTAACGTTTTTTGACTTTGTAAATAAGCTGTTTTTTTTTTTCTGCCTTCACCTCTCGTTGGAATCGTTTGATGGTAGTTTTAAAGCCACTTAATATGCATAACTTAAAAAGGTTATCTTATACCAGATGGTCAGCACATTATGATGCTGTACACTCCCTCCAGGTTGGCTATTCTTAAGTGAAGTCTACACTGAGTAGGAACCAACTCCTTCTTTTTGTTCAACAGATTTTCCCCTGTA